GCATTTGTCCTTATTGAATTTAATCCTATTTACTTCAGACCATTTCTACAGTTTGTCCAGACCATTTTGAATTATAATCCTATCCTCTAAAGCACTTGCAAACCCTCCCATCTTGGTATCGTCCACAAATTTTATAAGTGTACCCTCTATGCCATTATCTAAAGCATTGATGAAGATATTGAACAGAATCTTACCCAGAACTGATTCCTGCAGGACCCCACTCGTTATGCCCTTTCCAGCACGATTGTGAACCACTGATGATTACTCTCTGGGAACAGTTTTCCAACCAGTTATGCACCCACCTTATAATAGCTCCATCTAGGTTGCATTTCCCTAGTTGGTTTATGAAAAGGTCATGCGAGACAGTATCAAAAGCTTTACTGAAGTCAAGATATACCACATCTACCACTTCCCCCCATCCACAAGGCTTGTTACCCTGTCAAAGAAAGCTATCAGGCTGGTTTGACAAGATTTGTTCTGGTCAAATCCAGGCTGTTACTTACCACCTTATCTTCTAGATGTTTGCAAATTGATTATGCGCTCCATTATCTTTCCAGGTACAGAAGTTAAGCTGATTGGTCTGTAATTCTCCAGGTTCTCCTTATTTCCCTTTTTATAGATTGGCACTATATTTGCCCTTTTCCAGTCTTCTGGAATCTCTCCCGTCTCCCATGACTTTTCAAAGATAATCGCTAATGGCTCAGATATCTCCTCAGTCAGCTCCCTGAGTATTCTAGGATGCATTTCATCAGGCCCTTGAAGATGACTTGAAGATGTTTAAGTAATTTTTAACTTGTTCTTTCCCTATTTTAGCCTCTGATCCTACCTCATTTTCACTGGCATTCACTATGTTAGACGTCCAATCACTACCAACCTTCTTGGTGACAACCAAAACAAAGAAGTCATTAAGCAGCTCTGCCATTTCCAATTTTCTGTTATTGTTTTCCCCCCTTCATTGAGTAAGAGGCCTACCCTGTCCTTGGCCTTCCTCTTGCTTCTAATGTATTTGTAGAAATGATAAATAATGTATCCTGAAGGTACACATGCAGCTCTTCCTTTTGCTCACACACATTGGAGGGTGAAAAACAGATCTTTTCATATTATAATCTGTCACACACCTCAAAGTAATCCACACAGGTCCTCATACCACAAACATACCTTTTCCAAGCATGCCCAACTACTGCCTGGGTTTAGTGTAGGTGTATCTAAAGCACTGACTGCTCTTGGAGTGTATCCAAATAATTCCTATTGGTCATCGCCAGCTCCAGGGGAACAGAGGGAAGGTGGCATGAGCAACTTTTTCTCCCTTTTTGGCCTTTAATAGTGTTAGACAGAATCCTGTGGGTGAGGGTGAGTGGTTTGTCAAAGGAGCTGAAGAGCTTTTACATTTCAGCAACTGTGTGATTGGCAGACTAAAGGTAGGTAGGTAGGCAGGTAGGTAGGCAGGCAGGCAGGCGTGTGTGTGTGTGTGTGTGTGTTAACAAGGCATATCAGGGCACCGCTGAAACAGGGCAGAGTTAAATTTGCCATGGACAACCTTGCCTGTGTATTTCCTGGTATTCAGAAATTTTAGTTTTGCTCAATTTAACATTCTGCAAGAGGATGATATACCACCAAGCAACCTTAATTCTGCATTAATGGGATTTTTACCACTGAATTTCTTAGTTTGTTGAACAGAAAAGATATATTATTGGCAGGAATTAGTAGTCCTTTAGCAATTGTATTTATTCCCCTCAATTTGCATACATAGCCAAATCAGACATCCCCAGGTCATGGTGTGCAACTTGCTTTCCAGTAAATTTCTGCAATCTCATGATCCAGGAATCAACCAGAATCCACACACTGAAAACCCTGGCAGAGCACACAGGACACACCATAGTAATCTGCCCCAGAATCAGGAAGTAGCCACGCCTCCACCTCTCAGGCTAGTAAAATACAGATTTTTCTTAAGCTGCCAATCCAAATGTCAACCTTTAAACAGATGTCATGATGCAACCTTAACTCTAGCTGCGCTGCCACGCCACTATAATAGATGTGCTGAATGCCACTAACAGCAAGAATAAGAAAAGCATTCATAATTATTTAACTCATTTAGCTTTAAGCTACCTGCCCTTCTATCTCAGTGATTATTACTGTTCCTGAACACCCACACTCCTTCCCCACGCCCCCAATAGAACATTTGTTGACTCCAACCACTGATAACTAATCTTGCACTAAGGTCAGGTCCACACTATATCTCTCTGCTGGCATAACTATGTTGGTCAGGGGCAAGAAGAGGTATGACTCCTAACTGACACAGTATTCCTATACTAGTAAAGCACTCCTAGTGTGGACACGGCCTAAGATGGTAGTGACAGTATGATCTCCTTCAAAACCCTGCTCAAGTATGGTCCTGGCCATTTTAAGCTGCTTTGATAAGGAATGTTTATAGCCTTACTCCATCCCACAGACAAACTGAATTACCCGCTCATTACCTCAAAGTGGTCATTATTTTCCCAATCTATCCATGAGCACTTTCAGATTTGACTGCCTGGCTAAACACTATAAATAGAAGATACTGGGTTTTTTTTGACTCAAAGAGCCAGTATGAGATTGCATATAAATTATGTTTAAATTTGATCATCATAATGGACTTAAGAAACTGTGTCAGTTCTCCAATTACCCCCAGAGACAGTTCAACTGAAATCTCCGTTGGGGAGTTCTCTGATTCAAAGTGTGATTATTTTGGCAGGGTATAGGGATGTTTCTACTTGGACTATTTATTCCTGGTGCACCTTACAGCAGTAGGATAGTCTGTTATTTGTGACTAAACAAATAGAAATAGAGTTCTGTATTTGTCAGGAATGCTTAAATTAGATATCTGCAGTTAACAGTAAAACAAACACATTAAATAGACTTAACAGCAAATCATACAAGAAATTTCAAAATTAAACAAAAAACAAGTTTTATGCTTCTATTTACCTCAGTACAGAGGGCTTATAAAGGCCCACCCAACCATTTACACCCCAATCTAGTCCTTAACATGGGACTTAAACATAGTTTGGGGACCTTCTGCAAGCTTTAAACTTTGTGGTGAATTTAATCCAAAGAAAAGACTCAGGTGAAGGAAATACATCTCTTCACTTATTTTGCAAAAGTTATGTATATGTTTTATAAATATTTCCAAGTCTTTGTTTATGAACATTTGTATGTACTGCTAAATTTTCAACAATTCCACAATTTACATAATAAAAATATGTATGATAATCATTCTATTTAGTATACTTAGACCATCCAACTGGATTATATATCCTGTTCATATATGTTTAAACCAGGCTTGAAAGGGTCCATTATCATCATTAGTAAAATCAATAAGACATAACACCTACTGTAGAACACCAACTCTCAAAGGGATTCAGAATGAGGTAAGAATTTACCTTCTCCTTAAAACAAACAAAAAAAAGGAAGAAGACCGCATGTTTCTTTTCTGAAGAAACAAGTTACCTGTTTCTATGGATAATTATAAAAGTAGAATACGTTCAACTACTTAGAAAGCAAGAGTTTGCATAAAAAGCTCAATGATATTTATTGCTGTTCCATTTGGGAACTAACGTTTATACAGAACACTCACTTCAGTAACCACTATTTTACAGGAATTTATCCTGTATTCATATTTATTTTATAAAAATTAAATATTCAATTAAAATTAGTACTTGCACTATCACAATTATAATGTTATCATACAGAAGACTGCAATCAGTGCATTGAAATGTCTAAGTTAAAAATAATTAACACACATGCTCCCCAAGACCAGTATTCATGTCAAAGCACAAGAGCAGGTATTTCAGATTGTTTCCTCCCCTCTACACATTTGAGCAGCTCTCTCAATAATGGTTTTAGTCATATTCACCTCAAAATATAACTATTTCCGTGTGTGTGTGTGTATGTATGTCACACAAGGGCTTCACCTTGGACTATAAGAAGCTTGGAAGTTTGTTGTACATTTCCATACACAGTGGCCCTTTGTTCCAGGTTGCAGATATGTGATAAAGCAGAACTCTATATTTTCCCTAACAGGATCCATATTGTTTTACCTCTTCAGTGCATGTTTAAGAATAACCACAAGCAATTACTTTAAGTATTTCCCTGTGATCAAATGATTGAGTAAGTATTCACATGCTCAGCTCTGTAATACACTTTGGTGGCTCTTAGCACCTTCCACTACTTATTATGATAGAAGATATCATGTTTGTTCTTAGAACCCAAACAGCTTTCATATCAGATTTTAACAGTTTTTTCTGAAGTTTCCACTTCTAGGTTTAACATTAATATTGCACCCATTGACTAACAACATTTGTCATCTGTCATAATTAATCTTAACCTTTTTATTTTCTAAACCAAACCAAAGCACTAGTTCTCAAATGAAGACTAACTAGGTCCAGCCCATTATTCAGGATTTGAATTTCAAAACATTCAGTACAGCCTTATTTAAGTGGAGGTGGGTTTTTTTAATTCGGAAAATATGTTTTCATCCTCTCTGAACCTTAATTGAAGAAATTTTGAAGCAATTTGGTGGGGATGCCACACCAAAATAAAATAAACACCTTGAGTCAGAGACCAAGCATAGAAAAATTCAGCAAGATTTGAACACATGAAAACAGGAAACTATAATGGAAACAGTTGTACAACCTTAACTGTAGTAGACAGACATTACCAGGTGCCCAATAAAGTACACACAGCAGATGTAAAAGAAGTGTTCCATTATCGATCATACTAAGAAAATTTGTATTAACTGAGTGATTATAATGTAATAGCCACAAATTTAAGTTTCTATTGATTCAACAATAAGTTATGATTTAATACACACTCCACGTTTTAGTTTACCTCTCCTCTCTACAAATATACATACATACACGCACAATTATATTGTGTGTATTTATATATACACATATATAAAGTATAAGAACATGTAAAAAAATATTACTCATGTCAAAAATTCATTATAGACACAAACTACTTACTGTTAAGAGCCATAATATTATCTGTTCCTGGATGATGGAAGTTTATTCCCATACGCCCTACAAAGTAAACAGAGATTATTTATTAATATCACATCACACACACAAAAAGGCTAAAATTCGGTATTTTATTTTGAAACTGAATGAATTCCAAAGTTAAATACTGCCATTGCAACAGGTCATGTGATTTGTAATTTCAGTCTGCCAGAATGAACATCTAGGTGAATGTAGATTTAAAATATAGAATATATAAAATGGAAGTATAAAAAGTTAAAATACTGTAGATCAAGCAACAAAGCAACTGGAAGAATAAAGCAGACAGTAATAATGATTTTCTAAGAACTCTCTCAATTTGCCTTATGCTTTATACAAGAGACAGAACTTCATTACTCAAGCTTGTACTTACACTTCACTGAAACTGCATCTTTTAGGTTAGCCTTCAAAGTAAGTAGCATAAGTGACTAAATCATTTTAGAAACCCTACAAAATTGCAATGCCAACAAGGAGTTCAGTGTTTTCCATGATAGTTTCCACACAATACTGAGTTTTTCTCTGGATATTCCAATCACTAGAGATTGCAAGGAAGAATCAAAGTAGTGATACTTGTCCCCAGAGAGAGAGGGTCCACAAAAAGTCAGCCTTGACTTCAAAGAGCAAGAAATAGAAGTTAGCTCTACTTCTGTTAAGATTAATCTTCATCTTCACTTAGAGATTATCTGATTAATGAAATATTATAACATGCCCTGGGGAAATAACATTGAAAACTTTATTATAGGACTTTCTGAACCAAAAATCCCAGTCAACCGAAAGCTATTATGTGATCTTTTTCCATGCTACATGAAAGAGAAAAAAAAGAAATCAGGAATAGCAATTACATCCACTTATAATCAACTTTACTAATGGACTCTTGACTAAGAGTATTGTGGTTCAGTCCATGTTCTAATGTTGCCCTTAGAATTGTGATTAAGTCAGGAAGAGCTAGGTAAAAGGCTAATATTTATCGCCTGGTGGGGGGGGAAAACCTGATATATTAGGATTTGAAACTGAGAGCTCAAGACCTACTCTGCTAAAGGAACAATATAGCCAACTAGTTTCTTTATTATAGATGTTCCTCCCCACTCCTACCCAACGATTCTCAAGATAAAATTAAAACCTCACTCTGTTTTTAGAAAGTGTACCCTGAAAGAAGAATGGAGGACAATCTGTCTGTTTCTCCTTCTCCCATATTTTCAGTTTCTACCTAGAAATGAAAGCCTTCAATCTGAAATCACAGAAAACTATCCTCTTATAATTACTACTCTTAGTGGACAGATGCAACATTCTGATTCAAGACACTTATGACTTGACTAAGCATTTAAGAAAAAACAAATTTTTCATAATTAATCATTTAAATTAATTTGGAAAACTACAGTAAATAAAGCTACATAACACCACAATAGTATAAAGAAAGAAGTGGCACTTCACTTTTTTTGGTAGGGAGTGGCAACACAGAATTTTCACTTTATTTTCCAAATTCCTGAGTCAAAAGTTCTTAGAAGCTCTCCATTAAACTACTTCAGACTCTCCAATTGGAGACAAACTACTAAAGTTCACAGCGTATTATTATGTTAACCTGACGCTGCAGAAACACTGGCACAGCCATTATTTTACTTAGTGTAAGAATATGAAAAATACTTCTATATTCTTGTCAAAGTTATTACAGTACCCTTTAAGTACATTTATTAGTACAAGGTTACAAATGTTACACACATACCAATCTCTGCCAAACAATACAAGAATTAATTATAGTTATTAGTACTGCAAACCAATTATTTAATTTTTACAATTATGATTTCAGTTGAAAAAACTGATAATGTTATAAAGAAACTAGAAATTCCAATGCTGATGCAGGAGTTTGGGTTTTCTCTCCCCCCTCTCCTTCCCCAGCACCTCTGTTTTTTTCTTTGCCAAAGCTGAAATTCTGCTGTTTAACAAGCTACAAAAATAGAATCAAGTGAGAGACATCTGGTTATTTTATTCAGGCAGTCACTATGCCAGGTGCTGCCTGCATGACATTTTGTCACCTGCCCTTGGCCTGCTATTTTTAAGTTTTCTTTTCAGCTATCTTTCAAGAGTAGCAAAAATATAGGTTGTACAAGCAAGGAGATATACATGCATTTACTGAGCTAAGTGACCTTGTGGGAAAATTCTCATCATGCCATTGAAGCCCCCCCACCCAAAAAATAATAATTTAATTGCCTTAATAAACAGCAAAATAGTGGAAAATTCACTCTTGTATTAATACCATATTAAATAGGGGTGATCTAATAAGAATCTATCCCGTACAGCTTTGAAAAGACTCCAATAGTGAGTGTCCATTGTATTGCATTAACTGCAAAATATATTAGTATATTATATGGCAAATTACTCAGTGTAAAAATAGTAGGCCAAAAGCAGATGATGAAATGTCACGTAAGCATTTCAGCATCAACAAAGTTTTAATTTTTTGCTATGTACTTAAGTTTATCTTATGCCAAAGTTTTCTGTATAAATCTGCCATCTGAAACCAGGAACATGTTTCAAGGAGAAGATTGTGTTAAAAAGTAGGTATGACTGATTTGGAAAGTCATCAGTTTTGGAGATCAAGTATTATACTTGCACTCCTAAAGAACTATACCACATACCCAGTTATCGTGTCAATACCATGGAATACCAAAACAGCTCCTCTTATTAATTAACTTTGAAAGCAACAGGCAGAAATGCAGCAAGAGAAGTCTGGAACAAAAGATGCTAGGAGTTGAAAATTAGGCATGGACACTCACGTCTCATTCAGGTCACATAAAAAAAGTCTTCTGAAAACTATTTAATCAATATTTGTACTCAAGTCACACCTGCCATTTTCAGTTTGCTAGTCTTAGTTTCACACTTATCTGCATAGTTTCAATTATGTACTTTGCTAGTACATCTGTAATTGGTATATTTAGGCTGCAAAAATTTTATCTGTCTCCGTTACGAAAAGCTTATTGTCAATCTCTGAATCTTTCCCATGCCATGTGACGTTGCTTAGGGCACAAAAAGGGCTCCTCCCATTGCCCCCTCCCCTCCCCTCATCTATTCTGAGCTGCTCTCTGCAAGTCCTCTGTGTTATGTCTCGTACGTTTTCCCTTTCTAAGGACTGTGGATTCTTTTAGTTGGCCCTTTTTACATGTTCCTCCAGCTGCCCAAAGGGACTCCTTCCATGACAGACACTCTGGCATCATTCTTGACACATCCCAGATATTTCCATATTCTTTTCTGGATAACTATGTAGATAAGGAGTTGAACTCTGATGAATCTTGGCATTTGTTATAAATTTATTCCACGTAATACCGGTATTTCCCTGAGGCATTTGCCTTTGAATGCATTTAGACATTTTTCTATACCATTTGTGTTTTTCCAGCTTTCACGTCCATATGTTAAGGTGGAAATAACATTTGAGTTGAAGATTCATAGTTTGGTCTTTAAGTTGTAGATTTTCAATGAACAAATCTTTTTAAGCTGATGAATGCATCTATTGCCAATTCCTAAATATTATTTCTTCTGGATATCTCTACTATCTTGCACTATCTACTATCTTGCACTAGTAAGGTATGTGAATTGACTCACCTCTTCTATTTCTTTGCCTTCTAACAATACTTGAGTTGGGGTTTTCTGGGTTTCTCATTAGATTTGTTTTTTCACAACTAATTAACCCAATTTTTCTTGCAATGTTGGTCTTTTGGTCTGCTTGCATGTTGGTTGAGCTGTCAATTGGAAGAGATGTCAGCAAAATCTTAATCTTCTAGTGTACTGTTACTGAACCACATAATGTCTGCATGGTATCCATCTACACTTTTTCTCATAATGAAGTCAATGCCAAACAGAGGTGGGCGAAAGCATCCTTTTTGACACTAGTATCTATATTAAACTATTCACTCAAGTCTGCATGTACTTTAACCATGCATGCTGTATCTTGCTATGAAGGTCTTGATATTTTTGTTGGCATACCAGGACACTTCCTGAGTGAATTGTGACTGATACCGTCAAATAAATACATTTATGATTAATTGTTTCTGTCATTTAATGCTCTTTGATGATTATTCTTAGGGTGAAAATCTGGTCAACACATGATTTTCTAGGTAAAAATTCAGGCTGCTCCTCCCTTAGCTTTGCCTCAACTACTTGTTTTTTTTCTGCTTAAGATGATACACTCCCTTCAGTGACAGGCAAAGCCTTCTGCAGTAACACCTCACCAGTTATTGCAGTTACTTGTGTCATCTTTCTTTGGTATTTGACTACAGTATAATGATTTTTTCCATTGTTCTAGAGGCTTTTTCCTAGTCCCATGCTTTGCTGAAAAGTTCAGTGATTTTATCAATGGTGTCATCCTCACATGCTTTCAACACTTCTCTAGTGACTTGGTCTGCAGCTTTCCCAGATTTTAAAACTTTCACTGAGTCTTTCACTTTTTTGCTTGTGATATGAGATGTTACAATGTCTAATTCTGGCTATTTCAATTCTTTGACAAAGTTAACAGTTTCTTGTGGAGTTAGAGTGCTTGCCCATCGGTCTCTGCTCTTTTTCTGTTAGAGTCTTTCCTTGTTTATCCTTAACATAGAATTATAGAATCATAGCATATCAGGGTTGGAAGGGATCTCAGGAGATCATCTAGTCCAACCCCCTGCTCAAAGCAAGACCTAACCCCCAACTAACATGGCCCCCAAGCTAATGTAAACTTGCCGTTTAGAGCCTTGTTGAGTTGGTAAAGTGTTTTATCACCACCTCTTTCAGTAGGCACTCCAGCGTCTTTGACATTGTTGTCTATGTATTTCCTCTTATCTCTTCTTGTGCTACTTTACATGCCTTTATCCTTTATTTCATACAGATTTTTGCCAATGCTTTTTTCTGGAGTATTTTTGAGGAGCTAATGTTTGCTTTAACTTGTTTCCTTTTTTTCCCCCCCACAGAGTTCAACGTACCTGCAAAAAGCACCATGACACATTAATGTTGACTTTTTGTGATGGATCTAAGTCTTGTACCATCTGAAATCTGTTTGTCAGTTCAATTTGAAATTGCTACTGTAATGTCCTGTCTAGTAGGCTTTTGCTGTCAGTTTTCTTGGTTCTTTTGGTGGTTTTGTTTTTCTTAAGTTTGATCTTCAAGCTTGACACACATCAGCTCCTTTGTATGCCCACAGGGCAGATCTAAATTTACTTCCAGCACACTGTTGAGTCAATCTGGTTCCTGGTTACTCCCTCTAAGGAATTCCATTTTACTGCCAATTAGGATCCTTGATACTAAGCACAGTTCTATCAGTCTTTCACCATTCTGATTTTGGCAACTAAAGCCATGCTTTCCGATTGCTTTCTCCTCTCTCTTATCACCCCCACACATTGCATTGACGTCCCCCATTACTAAACAGATGCCATGTTTGAGAAAATTGTCAGAGTTTGAAGGCAAAATGTACAACTGACTTTTTAATATCATCATCATAGTTATTTGTTGGTGCAAATATTGTTTGCAGTATTATTGTAGTCATGATGGTCCCAGGATATGAGAGAGACAAGATGGTTGAGGTAATATATTTTTATAGGACCAATTTCTGAATGGTATGTAGTGGTCAGAGGATTATAGATGGTGAGTCCTCTGGGGATGATGTTTTGTTTCTTGCATTTGCTCAGGAAGTAGAGCTCACTGTTAAGTTTGGCTTCCTTCTCAATGTTGTGGAGTTTCCATTATTTCCATTCCAATAATATTGCCATTTTCATTTATTGTGTTTGAAACATAGCTTTGAGAGATCAGTTGTTAATTAGGTCCCACTGTATAAGTTATTTTTCTGCTTTGCAAGTCATAATTAAAGCTACTCCTTCAGAGTAACAACCATTTTGAATCCCTGCATATATTAAGACTATTTTCATTTTTGAATTTTTTTCAGCTCCTGGAATCAACAGTTGCTTATTCCAAGAATTTGGAGATTATATTCATCCATTTCCTCCATCACCTGCATGGGTTTGGTGTTACAGCCATTGGTCTAATGTTCCAGAAACCTACTTTCATAGTTTGTTTCAGCTTTAGTAAAAAAACTTCTCAGAGTCTTGGCTTCCTGGTGGCTTTCACCAAGACTCTCAATTCTTATTAAGCAAGAGTCCATCACTTTGTCATGATGTTTGCTGGAATGGCTATCTTGCTTTATTTCTGTATTTTAACTTTTTTTTTAAATGAGCACAGGTTGTTGGCCTATCACTCAACTCCCAACCTTGAGGAAGAAAGGACTGCATTTTGTCTGATCCCTACCCTTTGACCTGCCAGCTTAGGTTATCCTAACAGGAGTAAGAACCCCTGTCAGCATAGCTCTCAGAGTAATTGTTGATACTAGTTACAAATTATAAGAGGACACAATAGTCACACTAGTTACAAATTAAGACTGGCAGCAGGCTCTCTCGTCAGTTTCAACATCACATTTGGACAGTACTGTACAATGGATCTCCACACCTTAAGAGCTGTAAAAAGTAGAATTTCTTACATTCATAAAATGCGGCCTCATATGCATCAATTCATTTTGTTCAAGAAAGTTAGTACATAATAGTATACTATGTATTCAATTAATGTTGTAATACATTACATTCAGAAGGAATGGATAAAAATGATGGTGGCTAAAATTTGATTTCATGACCAATGCTAAATTTATCTTGAAAGCTTCAACGTTCGTATTACATAATAGTGATTAATGTAGTTGCCAATACTATAAAAAGGGTCCTAAATATGTTTGCATTTGTAAGCCTTCTTAGGACAGTGTTAGATAAGAAAAAGTTTTGGTAAAGAAACCTGCGTACCACCTGTTCTTCCTGGTTAAAACTAGGAATTTTTTAGTTTACAATTGTCTAAACAAGAATATATTTTGATTTATCCCATCCCAAATTACAGTTGCTTCTTATTTCCTTGGAGTCCATCCAATTTGAAATCAGAAGCCATGTCCCTTAGTAGTAGTGCTCTGCAAAGCCATATTTAAAACTTTGATTTGATTTCCAATCCCAAATCAACTGCTCGCGAGAGAAGCAATGGTTGGGAGTAATATAGAAGTGGCACTCAGCCATGGAGAGTGCCTTTATCCTTTTAGCAGGATGAAATTGAAAACCTGACCAGATACCTTTCAAAACCACTTTTTCAGCTGGAAGAATGACAGCTATAGAAGAGTGCCTTGAAGGAAGAAGGAAGGTAGAAGGAAGGAGAGCCCTCAGAGCTCCAACAGGCACATAGGTAATTCTCCCTCTCTACCCAGAAATCAAGAGAGTAATTAAAATATAGGCAGCCATGCCACGTTTTGATTTCAAAACCACGTATTCTATGTCTTCTAGAAAACAAAGGGGAAAATATCATGGCTGAAAATATGGGGGGGGGGGGGAAATATTTCGAAAATCAAGAGTCCGTTCTCAACTAACATTCATAACCCGGGGGGGGGGGGGGAGGTCAGATTGCAGGAAGACCTAAAGGTTAAGAAATCTCCTACATAAATCTGTGCATGTGACCTCAGCTGACTGGATTTAGGTTAATGACTCCACATGTTCCAGCAGAGAAGGGAATTTATTTATTTTAATAATTGCATCTTTACCAGGATACTCTCTAGTTACACAATGACCGGTAATGTAGAAGACTAGGAATAAGGGCAGCCAGATTTTCAGCACATTGTTGCTTAGTCAACCTATACACATTTGATACTTACACAGCACTGTACCAACCTACTGGGCAAAAGAATTACAACAGTAACAGCAGCAGTGCTATAGTTAATGGTCCGCTTTATTTCCATAATAAACATTTTAGAGACTTACAAAAATTCAACTCCATTTGGATGCTTCCGAATTTTAAGAGTATCAAGAAGCAACTATAATTTAAGCACCTATTTCTAACCTACAATGTGTCAACCTAATGTGTGCTCACAGAACATGGAGACTACTGTTTACCACAACCAGACATGAGGATCTATTCATCATAGTTGTCATGGTATGTGATCATTTTCTCACTGTACAAATGAACATTATGGTGACCTGCACTGTACATGTCTGACAACCACTAGTTATGAGAATAGTTTGTATTAATGTGAAGCAGCAGAGGCCTAGACAGTTTAAAAGCTTGTTCCTGAGTAAGTTCTTCTCATTTGCATTGAATAGACAAGAAGATACGCTGTTACTGAGTAGTGAAAGCCAGCATCAAGAGAGCAATAAAATATTTATTAACAAGCCACATATTCCTCATAGCCAAAATACTTGTGCTGCTGTCATATAGATGCCACATGCAATATGTGAGGATCTGCAAGCAGCAGAAGTATATTTAGCTCATAAATGGTCACAGTTTTCATAACATTACTGTATCTAGTACATCAATTTTACAATAAATCCTACTGAATAGGAAAATAAAACAGGAATTATGGCTTCAGTCAAAGGGGATAGGCAAGTCTTCCCTCCACCCCCCATGTACATATCTTATGTGTACCATCAACACTGTGTTAGACATCTTGGTTAAGCTTCTTTTATTCAAAGTTGAAAGAGGGCAAATTCATAACCTTACTAGAGAAAAATTAGCCTCCCCCACAATTATTTTTTAAAATATTGCATAATTTTCTTTATAAGATGCTGGATTTTAAAGTAGGATGGAGAAAATTGAGTTATCAGAGCTGCAGATGCACATGAAGCCATAAATCAATGAAAGGATGTGGCAGGGAAGATTTTAAAAAGTATCAGTTAATGTCTGCATCCCCAACCTAACAAAGAGAAAAATAAAAGACTCAGCATCTAGGGAAACATGTCAGAGAATAGATACACTGGATGTAGGCCAATAAGTGGTAAACATGCTCATGGCAGTTACATTAGATAAGTTTGATTTTTATTTTTTTTTAAGAAGAGGGTTATAAACCCTCAAGCTTCAGGGCAGAACCAGACAACTATATGGTTTTATTGGGACGTCTGGTCACCCTAGACTAGATGGACCATTCATTTGATCCAGGAAGGCAATAAGTGTCCACACACAGGTGGAAAAAGAAAAGAAAAAAAGTCCTTTAGCCCAGTGAAAAGATTAAAGGAAACATGTATTTTGTTTCCCTTTGAACTAACCTTTTTTTTTTTTTTTCTCCTCAGTGTCCCTTCATCAATGTTTACAGGAAGGGCACTGGTAGGGTGCGTCAAGGGAATGAGACATTAAGAAGTGGATAGTATGCTGGAATTAGTTTTTCTACAGCAAGTGTTGTGAAGAATTGACCAGTGAATACTATTTTTAGAACTGAGATTCCAATGTAAAACAATGTAGGAACATTCATTTCACTTGAATGGGGAAATTGTGAAATTTAGTGCAACATAAATAAAGTTCAGCTTCAGATTGAGAAAACACAAATATATGATCCTGTCTCATTTCCTCTCACCTTCCTTCGGACATGCCACAAGACTCTAATTTCTTTGCCAAAGCATTCTCCATAGAATTAGAACAGAAAGTGGGCTTCAAGGTAAAAGCCAGCAATTAACTGAAGAGTAGGATGTAAAACTGACTGTCCCTTCTGTGACAGATGCCACTGTACTCACAAAACCTATGAGATTAATTAACAATATAGCCTGGATAAACTAAACAACTTAAATAATTGTACAAGTTGTACATATGACCCCTCTGGAATCACTACAAGGACTAGAGAAGTAATATTGTTGCTATTTATATATTTGTAGATGGATGGAAAGGGAATAGCAGTTACATGTACAATTTACAATAATTAGATAGAATTATTCTAGTTGCCATACCAACTACAGAGATTTATTCTCCAATGTTATTCTTGACTACGTTTCAGAATACTGGAAGCGAAGATATCACAACATGGCCTTTAAAAATGTATTCAAATCACACTTGTTTTTAAAGGAGATCAGTCATTTATTTTTGGCTTCTAAGGAGATTTCTAACAAAGTTTTCATCCCTAGAAAAATGTATCTTTCTCTAGAATAACTTCAAATTATACAACATTAAAACTTTAAAATATTTTTATTGACTGAAATAACACAACATAACAGGAAGGAGAATAAAAATCTGATAAGAGAAAAATACCAGTAGTTTATTGTTTGGTAGTTTACATGGGTCCTATTGTATATGGAGGCAAAGGAGGGCTTTGCTACAGAACACTGTCTTAGCTTAGTCTCCACTAACCCAGTAAGCCTTTTAAAAACAGGTAAATCTCTCTATTACCATTGCAAACAATATAGAATTAAATGCACAAGGCAATATTAATGTGATATAGCACTGAAAATTTAGATGAAAGGCAGGACATTCAAAGTTATTAAAGTTTGCTTGGAAAACATCTTGCCTCTGGGTATCTGATGTATATGTAGTCAGAGTCTCAATTCAACAATCACAGACTAACATAGGTATATGGGAAAGTGTTCAGCAAATATTTATCTTGCAACGATGTGCTAAGTGGCAATAGGGAAATAGAAAATAGTTTACATACTATTTCTAAGTTTTCACAAACAGTAAAACCCACCTTAGTAACTATGATTTGAGTGTGTTGTCTCTGCATATTTATACTTGAGGAATATGCTTCCTGGTGCCTGTGAACAGAAGCCTTTTCTTCTGTAAAGCTGAGGCACTTCTTCCAAGGCCCACATATTTAACAGAGCTTATCGCTGCTCTGAGCAATTTTGCCTAGGGAGGATCACTAAAATGGGGTCAGAGGCAACATGGGGAAGACCTAAACTGTATATCCAAGCCAGGCATCTCTTGTACCCAGCACTCTATGGTAATTAAATATGTAATTGTAGAACTTTTGTGAGGTCTTTAACGTGCTGCAGTACCAAACCTTGTCTTGCAAGTCCCCAATAACTAGGGTACAACTGGGGCACTGAGGCATGCACCGAAGGTATTTCATCTGCTAAGGCTGTATGCCTCTAGCACGTGGGGGGGGTCTCAATATCATTCAACTTGCCTTCATATACCACACTTTTCCTAGGGGCCAGACATCCTGCTTCTGTGACCCGCTCTTTCTAACTCTCCTCTGAATTGCCACAATCTCCTGCTGATGACTTTGCATGTTCCTGAGCACAACAGAGGGAAAAACCAACAACACAGTAGCAGATTCAGCACACCACTCTGCTGACCCATCACTGTTCAGCTGCCTCATCACAAATGTTTACTATTGCCTCTTCCGATGTTTCTGAGGTGATATCTTCATGAATTGAGGCTGGAAGCCTGAGGATGACACAAGAAGAGAATGTGCGAGCCTTTCTCTTTGACCATGTTGGAAGAGTCAGAAAGACCTAGCTGTGGAATTGATGTTCTTCCATTTTCTCCAGCATCTTGCCCATCTTGAGGCTGAAAAGTCTCTTCCCTCCTTGAACAGGAGGACTCACATAAGACCAAGCTTTAGATGAAAGGCCTAATTCAAAAAGAGGCAACAGTATCATTTGAAAGAAATAGCTGATGCCATGAATAGTCTGAAGCAACTTCAACTGCCAGTAGGATGTGGGTGGATACTACATGCTCCTTAGTCACCAGCTCCTTTATCTGCTCCTCAAGAAGGTGGCCCATTAGATTAAATTGGCATCTTGCCCATGACAGAATTTGGCTACTGAGATACCCAATCTTTTTGGCATCCTTGTCTGACATGATAGCCCAAACTTGTCTTGGAACCTCTCCTCCTTTCATCAGCTCTAACACCATTAATGAGCAAGAAGAAGGGCAGGTTAGGATATATTACCCCCTCTATCCTGGCACCTGATAAAGGCCATCTGCCCTCTTACATCTGGCTGTGAACAAGGCTAATATCAACCAAATATTCTTAGCCATGTCCAGTAGCTCATCATTAATAGGGAGAGCGTTTCCTTTTCTTTTACGATTTTCAGATGTCAAACTCCCAGTTTATCTTTTCCTGGTCAAAAAAACTTTCCAAATCCAGGTCCCCTGCATATATGTTGTAATAGCCCTGGAAACTTCCTGAAAGTGGTTATGAAAGAGAAACAGTGACTATATTGTCACAGTTCAGAGAAACTGCAACTGCAAATTTCCCCTCAGTGGTTCAGTAAGGATACCCACTCTTGGCTTTCAGCTCCCCAACTGTTTCTCCTCTCACATGGAGATGCGAGTCTCTCTCCCTTCTGACTGTGGTATTCCCAGACTGGACAGTTCCCCTGCCTTCACTGTGTCCTTTCCTGCACAGACAGGACACCTGCTTACTTTCTCTTCAGAGGCAGGTAACCGTCCAATTGCTACAGATGTAAGGTACCATGTAGCAGTTCCTAAGCAAGCCAACTTTATTCTTAAAGTAAAAAGCATTACAGAGAAAACATTAAAAAACAATAAAAGAACCTACATGCATGCCAATAAGCTCAGCAGAATTCCTCCCAACTTTCATACTGACTCTGGGAAATGCAGTTTAATACACCACCCTAAGGGCATCCTTGTGGTTACAAGTCCATTAGAGCTTCAGCTCAGAACAAGTACATTGTCTTATGAGGCCTCAGTAGGCCAAATCCTTCCAATCCTCCCCTAAGCACTGGGGTCCTCTGTGGGCCAGGGATCCTGTCCATTTGCTGGATCGGGAAGAAGGCCTTCAGTTAGTATAAATTAAAGTTATTTATCCAAAAGTCTTTTCTTTGTCTCGGTCTCTGGAGAATCCAGTTTGAACTAGTATATGCTTCCCTCCCCCCAGAGGAGCTTCAAAGGCTGGTAATGGAGGATGTTCATTAGGATCACTCCTCTATACTGAAGAACATACACACAGTGCCACAACAGCACATACACAATTGCATTTTAATACAATGTACCTCAAAAGGTATTAACCCTAATTCAATAAGATTTATCTTAATGTTATAATATTTGTTCAGGATATTTGCAAGTCTGTCACACATATATGCTTAGAAGTTTTGAGGCTGAAGAAATCCCCTTTTGCTCACTATAAAAATGGTTGTTCCAATTCCTTTCCCCTTCTTCCTCCTCTGAATAGGACAGCTGGTTAGGAACATTGGCCAAAAGAGGGGACAAGGCCAACTGGTCTAGGTGGTACAAGACGTGACTGGGGAAATGACACCTTAGCTGACTTGGGAGATTAAGAAAGTGAGGATCCCCTGATCCTGATGGTTGCAAAGGAAAATTATCAGTATGGCCAGCTAGCCACTGGGCAAGAGGGAGGGCAAGGGAAGGTGCCCCAAGAGGCTGGAGAATCTGAGAGAACGCCTTGGAGCCCAAGAGAGTAAGAGCCCAGGATATTGAGCACTCCTGATCCAAGAGCTGTCCCTGACAGCCTATAAGCCCAGGCAGACTAGGACAACTCACAGAACAGAGTATCAGAGACTCTGTCTGAGTCCAGCCTCATCAGAATTGGATATTGAGTTTTCCCCGGAAAAGTGCACTCAAAAGAACCAGTCTATGCTCTGGAGATAGTGCCAAAAGACTAATATTGACTATCACTGGAGAAGAACCAGGAATCCTAGTGACCAGGAAAATGGGTAAAGCTGAATGAGTCCCTTGCATTGGCAGTGCCATGACAAATAACTCAACTGCATACTCTCTTGACAAATTAAGTTGTTTCCCCCCCTCCCCCTTTTTCCAGGTTGGTGCTGAGAACTCCAGCACTGAAGATCCCTTTGCATTTTTCCTGTCCTGTCCTCTACCAATTTTGTTGGCACCAAGCACAAAGGAGACAAACTCAAAGTATCCCAGCACAAAGTGGACAAACACCTGATCATAGGTCAGAGCCAAGAAAGGCATGGTGCCTTCACTACCTTTTAGTACAGGCCTCTGATTGAAGGCCTTACAAGCGCAATGATCCAGGAATGGATTTTCTCCACATAGAACAAATGGCAGAGCACAAGAGGCTTAGATATCTCCACGGAGGGAGCAATATATCGCACACCACTTAATTCTGCCCTTCAGATCTGAATCCTTAAAGTCAATTAGACCTTCTGGTTGTACTCCAGAACCCTACTTCAAAGTAAAAACTAGGACCAAGATCTTTGACCTAACTTTATGGTTCTATTTTTGAAAATCTTGGCCTAGATATATAATGGCACAACTAAGGTATACCCAAACGAATTTAAAATCACCTCCCACTACCACCCCACACCCCTCCATCAGGGGTAAAAGTCAAAAACAAAAAATTTTAGGCAGAGACACATTCCCATCTGGCCCTTGAAAAGGAAGGAACAGAAGCAGTTGAGGGCCACACTTCTTCTTTTATTATCTCTACTTCAAAAGTCTATTAGCAAACAACAGGGCTCCTGTGGCCCCAGTAGACGCTATATTCCCAGAAGATTTCTGAAGCTCTGCAGTACTGGGAGCAAGGTATCACATAAGTGTGAATATGCATAGGCCATGTCAAAGAAGTCTGAACATTTGCTGAAAAGTTTGTTCATTGCCCACTGGCAGGCTGACATTTTCTCTGAAATAGTCATATTGGCTCTGCAACAGGCCTGAAGCTTCCAAGATTTGTATAGTTTGGAAGGCAGAGTGAAACTTTTTACTAGAATGAGCTAATGCTTGCCTCTATTTTCCAAAAACAGTGCTTTTGCTATTTGTCTTTTCACCTCTCCCATCTGTTTGAAAGCTTGTACAATACTAAAACTAATATGATTAATAAAGCCAATTGATATATAAGTGCATACTAGCAAGAGTAATTTAGGCAAATTAGCCTACTTTACCAAGGGTGAGCTAAAAAAAGGTAACTACCATTAACTAAAAAGGTAATCTTCTTAAATGCAAGATACCCTAATTTGGGAGAGATCCATCTCAGTTGAAACAAACTTGAAATGTTTGGATTTTAGAGTGGTAGCTCTACCTAGTGAACTAAATGAGACATGCCCACTTACTGAGAGTATAGTCTTAAACCACCCGCCAGTCTCTCTGAAGCTTTCAGTTACTTACTATGAGAGTATTACTCTCCATGAAATGATCTGTAGTAGCTTGTTTGAACAAGACAGAACACACTCCAGCATCTATAGAAAAGGAAGAACTGCCTGAAGTTGAATCCTAGGAAGACAGATTATGTTTGTGGGCAGAGGGAAACACTTTGAAGAACTATCTGCCTGGCCCACCTTGACTAAAGTCCCATGGCCCCACAGATCCAGACAGTTTGCAGTTTGAAAGTTCTTCTGGATTTCCTACCAATGCTGGCCCTGGATAGCAGCATCTGTGAAAAACTCCACCTACTAGATCTGACTGGTTAGGAGAACATGTTCCATCCTTGCTGATGACTTGGCAACTACCCTTTGCACAGAACACAAAACGTTATCCATGACCGCTGATTCAGATTTGCCTGTTCTGAAACTTTTTTTGTATTCCACATAAAGATATATTTATTAGCTTTTCACACATACTGTAGCTGTTTTACTTAGAAACCAACTCACCAGTCTCACCATGGATACCTGGATCTTAGATCAATAACAGTGGAAAAATTTAGTTCCTGCTGCCCTCAAATATTTATTGGTGTGTATGTCTGTGTGTGTCTCTAATACAGTCATGGGACTAGAAGGGACCTTGAGAAGTCATCTAGTTCAGTCGCCTGCACTCATGGCAGGGCTGAGTATTGTCTAGACCAGGGGTAGGCAACCTATGGCACATGTGCCGAAGGCGGCACGCAAGCTGATTTTCAGTGGTACTCATACTGCCCGGGTCCTGGGGGCTCTGCATTTTAATTTAATTTTAAATGAAACTTCTTAAATATTTTAAAAACCTTATTTATTTTACATACAACAATAGTTTAGTTATATATTATACACTTATAGAAAGAGACCTTCTAAAAATGTTAAAATGTATCACTGGCACGGGAAACCTTAAATTAGAGTGATTAAATGAAGACTCGGCACAGCACTTCTGAAAGGTTGCCGACCCCTGGTCTAGACCATCCCTGACAGGTGTTTGCCTAACCTGGTCCTAAAGATCTCCAATGACGTAGATTCCACAATCTCCCTAGGCAATTTATTCCAGTGCCTAAAAGTTACCCTAAAAGTTAGGAAATTTTTCCTAATGTCCAACCTAAATCACGCTTGCTGTAATTTAAGCCCACTGCTTCTTGTCCTATCTTCAGATATTAGAACAATTTTTTCCCTTCCTCCTTGTAACAACATTGTATGTACTTGAAAACTGTTATGTTCCCTCCCCCCTCCATCTTCTTTCCTCCAGACTAAACAAACCCATTTTTTCAATCTTCCCTCATAAGTCATGTTTTCTAGACCTTTAATCATTTTTGTTGCCCTTCTGTAGACTCTCTCTAATTTGTCCACATCTTTCTTGAAATGTGGTGTTCAGAACTGGAAACGATACTCCAGCTGAGGCTAATCAGCATGGAGTAGAGTGGAAGAATTACTTCTTGAGTATTGCTTAAAATAACTCCTGCCAATACATCCCAGAATTATGTTTGCTTTTTTCGCAACAATGTTACTCTGTTGACACATATTTATCTTGTGATCCACTAAGACCTCTAGATCCCTTTTCATTATCTCTGCATGTATAACTACAATTGCATGAATTAGTAAACAAAAAGTTCCCCAGACCACTCACTCATGTGGCATTAGTTGAGTGGCAGAAGTAGTTTAATCTGTACCCCGGCAGTTGAAAGGACAGATGTGCTCCTGCAGCAGAAGTAATCATCAATATTTCCCAGCATCCATCAAACAAATAAGTTACACTACTTCCAATCCATCCATTTGGGTTTTAATTCTAGTACACACACACACACACACACACACACACACACACACACACACACACTCTATCTATATCTA